CCTCATCTTCACCATACTGCTCACGGTTTGTCGAACCTCTTTCACGGCACCCTCTATTCGGTTTCAACTTCTACCATCACCGGCGAGGAGTATGCCTCTCAAAGTCCCCCCCCCCTCTCCCATTTTCCCGCCTTGTGTCACCTGCTCTGTTACATATTCAATTGATATTGACATTTCTACCTTCTTTTGGCGATAGTTCACATACCATGCATGTGACGCATATACTGCACGCAAGAAAAAGAGCTTTAGGCTTAGACACCTTAAAAAGCTAGTTTAGCAGCGAAATATTTTTCTAAACAGCGAAATGTTTGCTTGACCAGCCTATACCATTGTACTGTGTCTACACCAGGAAAGACTTTTTCGTGTGCGTACTTGGGAGAACCTCTCGGGTATTTGCCATTATTTGTCGTTATTTGTCACGGGTATTTTTTTTTCTCGTCCCCAAACTCAGACGTCGGGTGCGGCATCGTGGCGTAACGTTTCGCGCCTTGCGGATTTACCCCCCCCCCCCCAACTCTCCTCTAGTGCTCGCTCCGCTCCGTCAGGGGTGCAGCGAGATGTGAGCAAACTTGTAAAGACAACAACAGAGCGAACAGGGAAGTCCTCCTTGCGCTCGCCACGCCGCCCGACCCGGAACCTTCTCAACCAGTCATGCAAGGAGCACAACTGTCGTAGTGTCGTCCCGGCTATTCCTGCCGCCAGACGAGTTCCGTTTTAGCTCACTCTACCAGGTTTGGCATCCGCGTCTGGACGTCAGGACCACCGGGGTTGGGGGGGGGGGGGGGAGGATCCCAATCGCTAAACGAATTTGCCAACGATTTATAAATGATGCCGTGGAAAATATTGAGGTAACCACTTTCACTCGGCGCAGTAAACACACGTGTCATTTTCAAACACACACACACACTCGCACGCGCGAGGTGTACAACGTAGGCTGTGGACGCAATTATTTTTAGCTGACGCTGCCGCATGCTCGAGCCTCTCTGTTCTGTAGGGGAGGGGGGAGGGGTGTTGTCTCGTGTGTGTAAGAGAGTGAGAGAAGGGACCGGGGAAAAGGGGAGAGAGGGAGGAGGGGGGTAGGGGTCTGAGCCTGTGTGATGAAGTGTATGTGATTCGGTCTATTGAGCCGTATTGCTGGCACCCCTCCGTGCCCGCGCCGCATGAGCCCCCTGCTTCCCCCCTCTGACCACGACACACTTGGGTAGTATTTTGTGTGTGTGTGTCATTTCCCCCCTTTTTTTTCCTTTTTTCTTGTCGTCGACACACATGGGCGATAGCCAAGTCGTTGTGGCCGACGCCGTGCCCACGCCCGTATCGCCATGGGTATCGCGGTGGGAAGGGTGGCCACACGGTCTTCTAGGAGGTGGTGGTGGTGGTGGTGGTGGTGGTGGTGGTGGTGTAGCGGTGCTGCGACTGGCTGCACACACTACGCCCCAATTCACGGACCGTGAGCAATGGGGTAGACGGCCCGAGTACAGTAGCAGTGTGTATTCGCGTATCCGACGTGTGGGGCGGCGTTACTTGTTCCAGGTAAGAAACCGTGGAGCAGAAACCACTGCCTCGGCCTCCGGCAACGATAAAGTCTCGCAAGAAAACTAACATTCTGCGTCACTTATTTGTTTCGACGACAAAAGTACCTGAAGCTAATTTTAATTTATATCGAGGCTGCCGCATCAAAAGTATATACTACTACATGAAACTGCAAGTGAGGGAAACGCTGAGGTTTCCGGTGGCGTGGCCCATTATTATCAGCGGATAAAGCGGTGTAGGTTACACACTGGAGATTGCAGCGCTATTGCAGGGCGGCAGCTGAGCAAGCCTGGGCTGGGGTCTCGTGCGGGGTCACAGCAAGAAGGCGACTAGCATGCCATAATGTTTCATGCATGGCAACCTCTTAGCGGTACTACTAGCTGGTACCCCCTCCCCTCCGGGCGGCTGCGGGGCGGTTGCCGCCGTCGGCACGGCACTAGAGGGGAGGATATGGGGTTTAGCTCATATGACGTCGCACGACGCATTCAAGCGTCGCTCCAACTAAACATTAACTCGCGACACGAAATCAGGCCGACTCGTTTAAGGTCTGTGCGCCAACACGCATGTAAGTGTCGCTCGCATCGTGTACAAATGTCTGCATGTGTCTGTTTGTGAGCTGGTGTGTGTTTTCTGGACCCGCCATGCTATGCTCCACCATTTATGTAATATGCATGACACGAACAGAGAAAAGAGAGACAAAGACAGTGGGGCGGCAGAGAGCCGAGAGAGTAGGGACAGAGCGCCCCTTTACACGCACACACACTCTCACACGCATGGCCACCACCACCACGCTCCACTTCCTGACCCTTGTAGTCCGGCCCCGCGAGTAGTCCGGCCCCAGTCGCATCATGGGAATTGCACTTACCTCAATTTTGTAAATCGAGTAAATCGACACCCCTTTCGGGTTGCTCGAGCCGACGACACTTTTCTCCATACTGTTGTTGTTTTTGATGTTGGTGGGGGAGGGGGAGCGGTCAGTTTCGTTGTATACACTTTGCCATCGCGTCTGTGAGCAGGCTTTGCACTGTGAACTTATGTGTAAAGGTGGATACAGAGTTCCCAAAATGCGAACGTGATTTTCACGCCCGGCGTGATGAAAGTCGGTTCCTGATTGGCTGTGTCAAGCTTACGAAGCGTGAAAAATCACGCCTGGCGTGAAAAATCACGCCTTGCGTGAAAATCACGCTTGCGCTTCGTGAACTCTGTATCAACACTAAGGAAGGGGGCATTCGGACTGCAGCACAGACACACTAAAATAAAAAGAGGGTCGCACAGCCGCCCACATCCACATCCCGGGTGATGGCCCAGTGCTCCAGTGCTGCGCTGTTGCTGACACAATCACACGGACAGCTGCTGTCCCCCAACCATGCTCCCCTATCTTCCCCAGTCTTCTCCCTTTTTCTTGTTTTTCTCGGTGAATAGCCCGTATCGGGACGGTACCTTTCTCCTGCTGCTGCCGCCGGGTTTGGGCCGGGCCGAGCAAAACGAGCAGAACTCTCTAAACGAAGATGACGAAGAAAGGCGATAAAGTTGAAGAAGAGGCAACGTTCCGGATTCGAAAACGAACGGCAGAAGATAAACAGTGTATAGGAGGCAAGCGCACATACTCAGTACGATTGGGTTCTTGATTTCACACCACTTATTTCGTTCTCGTGGTTCCACTTCCACTATTTGCCCCCCCCCCCCCCTCTCACAAGCCAAAGCGACACTGTTAAAAATTATACAAGGGGTATTTCAACTGATTGTTCTGGGATTTTTTTAATTATCAAGACTCATCTCTCAACATGTCTGCCAGTTGGGAAAAAATAGTTAATCAGAAATAGCAGAAATCGAAATCTATTTAGTACTTTTTCTAGTGTTTGCACACCGATACGACGTCTTGATCAGAAAGAGCCAGTCTTGCCGCGAGCTTCAAATGATTAAAGGGAACAACGACAGGCTGACGTCAGAACCAATCGGGAGAGGATGGGAAGGGGGGGGGGTGTCAAGAGGTAGGTAGAGAGCAGGGTGGATAAGTGAGCAGTATTGGTAAGGGGCGAGGGAGAGAGCAGAGTAAGATGTTGGAAAAAAAAGAATTATTTTTAGTAGGGG